ACAAATTAAGATCTGTGACTCTTTTCATCGCTTTCCACATACAGATCAGTCCAGGCAAAACCCCTCTAAAAACCCAGGCAGCTGGGAGAACACTCGGATTCCGAACGTGTCTATGAGGAACGGTGGGAAGAGATGCACATGGGATTCCGTGTTTGTTAGAGCACGTCAGGATGGCCTGCTTGGTAAGCAGAGCACGAGTCTCTGCATTCAGTTCCTGTCGCCAGTGGTTCTCAACCTCCCAATGCCGCAACCCTTCATACAGTGCCTCATGTGGTGGTGACCCTCAACCATAAAATGATTTCGTTGCTACTTCATCACTGTCATTTTGCTACTGTGATGAATCGTCCTGTAAATATCTGACAGGCAGGATGTATTTTCATTGCTACAAATTGAACAGAATGAAAGCATAGCAATTCATCACAAAGACGATATATCATTCTATATGGTGAAATGTTGATTTCTAATGGCAAATAAATGAAATTTTATTTCGAAGCCTGGTGTACCTTGGGTAACAGTCTTCACACCAGGGATTTGTAGGTGGGCATATCTGCATGTGGGCGGACCCGCCTAGAGGCGGATAGAGGAACGGTGTCTGGGTTCCCAAGACCATTGGAAATACGTGTTTTCTGAAGGTCTTAGGCGACCCTGTGAAAGGGTCATTCGGCCTCCAAAGGGGTCGCAACCCACAGGTTGAGAACCGCTGCAGTATAGCCCATGCTCTCAGACAGCTGGCAGCCATGCTCACAATCACATGGCAAGACGAGTCCTCAGAATCGCTTCCTGGGTTTTCACCAGGTGAACTCCGGGTGTAAGCTTGGCACTGAGGCCCCATTCCTTTGGTCCAAGGCCACGTCCGGGTTAAACTAGCAGGAGCTCTGTCATCCAGAGAACCAGAAATTAGGAAGTCAGGAGCTTCCAGTTCCGTAAGAAATCTAAATCAATACACTTTTTATTGGGGAAGCTAATGCTTAGCCAGTGTTTTGCTTGCTCCTATGCTATGGTCTGAATCACTCTCAATCAAAATTACTTCAAGGTCATAAACATCCTGTTTTTCATCGGATTCTCTGAGTACCTGGCTTTATCTTGCCTCAAAGGCCGGCTTTGTGCTTTGATTATAAAGGCTTCTTGTAGCTCTCCTATCCAATTATTTGCTGCCTATTACCCCAATCCTAGCTCTGGAAAAATAGCAGGCACGTTGCCCCAATGGGCCAAGGCTCCAAGTGTGAGTTAAATCAAAATCCAAACCCAATACCGCCGAGTGGATTCTGACCCTTAATAAGACAGACTTCCCACGACTGTAAGTTTTAAGAGACCAAATGGCCACATTTTTCTCTGGTGAAGCAGCTGATGGGGGCCACACTGCCGAGCTTTCACCACTGTACCACCAGGGCTCCAGTCCACGTGTGACCACAGTGTCAAAACAGCCAGCTGAGAGTGGTCTACACCAGCAGTCACCTGGATTGGCCAATTCGTTTTCTCTGTCTTTGAACTTGAATTCATAAAAGGAACCTGAATTTCTATATTCCATTTGCAAAAAGGTTATTGGTTTGTGAGGAGCCCTAGTGGCCCAGCAGGTAAGCCCTCAGCTGCTGACCAAAGGGTTGGCAGTTCAAACTCACCAGCCACTCTCAGGAGAAGAACGTGGCCATCTGCTTCCATAAAGATTGCAGTCCTGGAGTCCCTACGGAGCAGGTTTACTCAGTCCTATAGGATTGCTGTGAGTTTGAATCCCCTCTACAGCAATGAGGGTTTAGGGGTTTGTAAGGAAAGCTCTAAAAACAACAACAAAAAAGTCTGCTTGTCCTCACCTTGCCAGGACCATATGATTGCCATCTAGCTGTCCCTTATTCATGGGGAATACAGCTCATAGTAACCCCTGGGTGTGCCAGAATAAAACTCTACTCCACGGGGAGGTCAATGGTTGATTTGGGGGCGGGAGTAGGGAGTAGATTGTCAAGGCTTTCTTCCAAGACATGCCTGTGGGTGAACCCAACCTTTCCATCAGCAGCTGAGCATGTTAACTGATTGCATGACCCAGGGACATGCCTAGCGTAGGGTTAGGGTTAGGGTTAGGGAAATGCCTAGCTGGGATCATGCCTCACATCCAAAGTACGCAGGAAGCTGATCGGATTACAATCAGCCTTTGGCATGCACAACCTTGTGAAAAGCCAACCCTATAATGACTTTGACTTTAAACCAGGGTCTGCTTGTTTCCTCGAGGGAACCATCCTTCACCTGAGATGTCATTTGGCTTGTCCTCTTCCCCTGAAGCCTTGTGGCAAATACAAGTGCCTACAGATTGCACATAAGGCGGTGAGTGTTCTTGTGTCTATTGATCCAGCACCATGGTTTTAAACCCACCTTCCAGATGACTGAGTGCTTGCTGGAAATGGGACATTTCAAAAATGTCACACTCCTCTTGTTCAATGACGCGTTCCTACAACTGTGCTCTCCACAGTCTCAAACCAGATAGTGGGGCACCGCGGAAGTCTTTAAGGAGCAGGGCCATCCGTGGAAGACTGTGGGTTTTACGGTCCGAGATGTCATTGGCGTCACTGGTTTCCGTGGTTTCCCCTCAGATACAGCACGTGTCCGGGACGTGTCCACCACCCCCTGCATTATTCTAAAACCCATTCACCCCTGGCGGCATAGTGGTTACCGGTGGGCTGCTAACTGCAAGGTCAGCAGTTTGAAACCCCCAGCCACACTGCAGGAGAAGAGACAAGATTTTCTCCTCCTGGGAAGGGCTGCAATCTCAGAAACTCACGGAGGTAGTTCGTCCCTGTGCTATGTGCCACGAGTCGACATCGATTCAATGGCAGTGGAGTTTGAGTTTGAAATCTGTTCCAAAAGAAGATAAACCTGATGCACAAGGCATTGACATTGGTCCTAACACGAAATGCATAGTTCAGTTAGGGTCTAAGAGATTCCCCTAGGGCTTGGTTTGCATAGACTTGGGAAATCTTTTCTTTTTTTTAAATCATTGTATCGGGGGCTCGTACCACTCTTATCACAATCCATACATCCATCCATTGTGTCAAGCACATTTGTACACATGTTGCCATCATCATTCTCAAAACATTTTCTTTCTACTTGAGCCCTTGGTATCAGCTCCTCATTTTTCCCTTCCCTCCCCCGCCCTCCCTCATGAACCCTTGATCATTTACAAATTATTATTATTTTTCATGTCTTGCACTGTCCGATGTCTCCCCACAGCCCATTGTCTGTAGTCCATCCCTTTACTCTGTGGTGAGTTGGGGAGGTTGTCAGACCTTCGCCCTCAGGAGAACGAACGTGAGTATGATGCTACTCAGATACAAAGCAGGTCACAAGGGAGTCTTCCGGCCTCCTTGAGGTCTTATAAATGCATGCCATAAAAAGAAACAGCTTAGACCAAGGGCAGCTGGGAAAATAAGCTCCCGTCTTAAGAGCTGCCGCCACGGCTGTTCTCGTCATCTCTGTGGAAGATGGTTGGGGGGAGCTCTCAGGAAGGATATTTCCAGGATGAGAAATTAGTTGGGGGGGGGGATTCAAATTCCCCCAAACGGCTCAATAGTCGGATTAAATGACCACAAAGGAATAAACTTGACTTTGAAATCAAGAAGAGTACTTACCAGATTAGACTCTTTACCACCTCCTCTCCCTGTTAAGTAGGACACATGCATTCAATGATTAAACTTCCAAGGCTTGGACACTGCTCTCTTGACCACCCTTGATTTTGCATAGAATGAAGTTTTTATTTGTTTGTTTGCTTGATTATTCATTTATTTATTTTTTGGAGGGTGCCATTATCTTGTTGGGGGAAAAAAAAAAGCTAAGTGCCCCGGTGGTGTAGCCCATTACTTGTTAGGCTGCTAACCAACCAGCTGTTGGTCATCAGTTCAAATCCACCAGCCACCCCGTGGCGGAGAGATGAGACTCTCTACTCCGGTAATGAGTTACAGTCTTGGAAAGCCGCAGGGGCAGGTCTGCCATGCCCTATAGGGTCGCTATGGGTCAGAGTTTGAATTTGGCAGTGAATTTGGTAATGTTTATCAAGTACTTGCCACGAGGCAAGCACTATGCCGGTATCTTCTCAAATTCCCCAGGAACCTCAGCAGCCAGGATGATTTTCAGTGTTGTCATGTAACAGATGGAGAAACCGAGGCCCACGGGGTTCATGTAGGTTGTTCTGAGTCCTCTAGTAGGTGGTGGAGAGGTGATGGTCATTTGGGCAATCTGACCCCAGACAATCTGCATTCTTCATCACTGGGGTGTACATCCAAAACCTCACTGCCATCAAGGGGCTGAGGGCTTCAACGTGGTGAGATTGTAGTTAGCAGCCCAGCTTGTAACCCGCTATGCCAGCGGGTTCCCAGGGCACACATAGAGGTAAATGCCAAATTGAATTACTGAATTAGTGTCACCTTGCTGAAATGATAAAATTATATAATGAAAAAGAAATCTACAACAAATACGTGTGCACCAGGGATATTTTCAAAACCTCACAGGAAGACTGGCTGCGCTCTACAATCCCAGCTCACAGTTTATTCCAAGTTCATTATGGTTTTTAACTTGCTTCATAAATAATTTGTATTCTCAGCTCTCTCCCAAATGGGTATTTATGGAAAACCGTAGATAGGAGTATATTTGTAGATCTGCATGGCAATTTTTTTAAACCAAGATCATGATATCCAGGGTGGAGCTATGAAAAGATATACAAGTGCTGTTAATTGGGAATGGGAGGGAAACGTCACCACTGCCCGCTGCCGAGAGGCTGACCGTGGGAGAGGAGAGAGGTAGGCAGTGGGGTGGGAATGGTGACGAATCAAGGCGCACTGATCACTTTAGACAATTTTGGAATAGGAAAAACTAAATAAATAATGCCAGGACGCTATCATTTGCGTGCCTTCCCAAGCCTCGGCAGGCTTCTCAGATCACCTCCAAGCTCCATGTGTCCATTTGTAAAGCCTCCTGGTTCGGGACCATCCTGCTCAGGATAAGGAAATGATGACGCAAGATGAGCTTGCTTTTTATTCCTCAAGTCCCCAAACAACTCTGTCCCCTCTTAACTAAACACACACACACACCCCACCCCAGCTTGTCACAATGTCAGGGACAGTAACTATCAGCCAGAATCTTCCGTGAAATCTTTTTTCAATCGTTAGAGACTTACAAAAACAAAACAAACAAACCAGGCTCTTGCACCACGAGCTAAAAGACTTAATTGCTCGGCTTTTCTTTTCCTTTCTTGGGCGTTCTTTTGTCTTCGGAGTTGGTATTCAGGCGGCGCTTTGGGAAATTCGTCTTCAGAAGTGTTCACGAGGAGAAGCCGATTGTCCGGGATAAATACCAGGGCGATGCCACCGTGATCCTAGTGAGAGCAATGGGAAAACACAAGGAGGCATTGTTAACAGGATCTCTTCTCTTGTCCAGACAGAGATGTTAGGGGAAGCAAAAACAACCCTTCTCTGTGACCTGCCTTAAGCCCCCAAAGAGATGGTGAAATTAAATTATGTGGAAAAGGCATAATGAGGGGGGCAGAGGGGCTAACAGCTGTCAAGCAGGAAGATCCTGGTGGCTCCAGATTAGCTCCGAAGGCGGAGGTCAGGGATCCCGTTCACCTTTCTCTGACACCCCATTCAGAGGCTTCGGCTTCTCTGTATTACAATGGGAGGGAGCAAAAAGAAAAACAACTGTTTCTCCACCCATGCTAAAAGTTCATTTCTATTTAGGAGAAGGCTGCAAAGAACGTCGTGGTCCCTTTAACATTTAATTAAAGGAGAATGCCCTGGGAATAAGAAAGCCATCACAGGATAAAAGTCCCCAGTAGGTTTTGTTCACGGAGCTGCCAAGCTGAGACATTATGGAAAATAAATGTCATGTCAAAGGTTGGTGATTTCCTTCCAAAGCAAGAAGCTCAAGCACTCCAGGGGGAAAAATGCAAAAACAAAAGGAAAGACCAAGCACTCACTGCCATCCGGTCAATGACGCCTCACAGCAACCCTATAGGACAGGGTGGAACTGCCCCATGAATTTCCAAGCCTGTAACGCTTTACAGGAGTGGAAAGCCCCTCACTCTCCCGAGGAGCAGCTGGTGGTTTTGAACTATTACTGTTTGGGCTCCTTAAAGAAGTAACATGAAAATAAAGACATTTAGATAATCTATTGTCACTCAGAGGCAAAGAAGACAATCAGCTTCTTCTACTGGTTGACAAATTCTCTTCATGTGGGTGATGTCGGATGCCACCTTCCATGGTTGAGTGGAAAACACTCTATCTTCTTTGATTTTGGGGAAACTCCTACACACAAGCTTCTGAGTGATCCTTGTGTCCCCCTGGGACTCATTAGGCACCAATGATATGGCCAGAATAAATGGGGGCTGTGAGGTTTAACCACCGTCTGTCAGGTTTTCGTACTCTGGTGGCTTGTGTGTGGCTGTGATGCTGGGAGCTACGTCATTGGTATTTCAAATGCCAGCAGGGTCACCCAAAGTGAACAGGTTTCACCAGAGCTTCCAGACTAACAAGAGATTATGAAGAAGGAATCAGTTGTCCACTTCAAGAGAATGAGCCACTGAAAATCCTATGGCTAGCATCAAAGTATGGTCAGTTGCTGAAACCTCATGAATAGAAGGAGACCATTGTCAGAGATCGGGCCAGGAGATGGGTCCCTCAGATCAGAAAGCACTCAACACAGGACTGAGGAGGCGCTGCCTTCGCACAGCCGCGTGGACCATAATGATGTGGATGGCGTAAAGCCTGTGGGACTACAGGTCGCTTTGGGACCTTCACTGGCTGATGGGGCTGGACTTGAGAAGAAGCAACTTCAAACATCAATTAATAATTGGAACTTGGAATGTATAAAGTATGAATCTAGGAAAATTTGCAGTCGCTCCATGCTAAAAGTGACATGGAGCACATAAAGATTGCTATTTTAGGTGTCAGTGAGCTGAAATGGACTGATATTGGCCATTTTGAATCAGAAAATGATATGGTTTCCGGCGCCAGAAATGACACCAAGAGGAATGACGTTGCATTCATAGTCCAAAGGGCGTGGTAAGAGCAATCTTTTTTTTGAAATGTCTCACGGGCAACAGAACTAACCGCCACTGGCAGAAGGGAAGCTCGTAGGGCTCACCTGGGAATCTGGCTCTTCTTCTCCTGTGACTCCAACAGCTGCCACCAGTGGCAGAAATGAGCTCATTGAGAAGCGGTTAAGAGCAATCTTGAAGTGACAGGATAATGTCTCTCTGTATACAAGGAAATCCAGTCAACACAACTCTTATTCAAATGTGGGCACCAACCGTGAGTGCCAGTGATGCAGAAATTGAATAATTCTACCAACATCTTCAGTCTGAAATTGATCAAACATGCGATCAAGATACATGATCACTATTGGCGATTTGAATGCAAAAGTTGGAACATGTGATCTTGGTGAGAGAAGCAAAGCAGGACGTCTCATGATAAAAATTTGCAAGACCAAAACTTCTTCATCACAAATACCGTTTTTCAACAACACAAAAGATGACTATATACATGCACTTCTATAGATGGAATCTACAGAAATAAAATTGACTGTCTCTGTGGGAAGAGATGATAGAGAAGCTTAAGCTAAGCAGCTACAACCAGGCCAGAGGCCTGCTGGGTACAAACCATCAATTGCTCATATGTAAGTTTAGGTTGAAGTTGGAGCATATGAATGCATGTCCACAAGAGCCCAAATATCCCAGAGATTCAAGACTATCTCATGAACAGATCTGCAGTATTAAACACGAGTGACAAAGCACTGGGCGGCCTGTAGAATGACATCAAGGACATCACTCATGAAGAAAACAAAAGGCCATTAAAAAAAACAGGAAAGAAAGAAAAGATCAACACGGATGTCAGAAGAGACTCTGAAACTTTTCTTAATCATAGAGGACCTAAGGCAAATGGAAAAAGAAAAAAGATAAAGTCAAAGAGTTGAAGAGACCGTTTCAAGGGGTAGCTTGAGAAGACAAAATGAAAGACTATACTGAAGAGTGCAAAGAGAGTTAGGAAACCCAGAGCAGAAGACATGCTCCACAGATCTGAAAGATCTAAAGAAAATGTTCAGCCCATGAGTTGCAAGGTTGAAAGATTCTAGGGGTAAAGCACTGAATGATGCAGGAAGCATCCAAAGAAGATGGAATGAACACACAGAGTCACTCTACCAACAACTAGTGGACATTCCACTATTTCGAGAGGGGCCATGTGAACAAGAACCAAAGGTACTGAAGGAAAAAGTCCAAGCTGCACTGAAAGCAGTAGCCAAAAACAAGCCTCCAGAAAATGATGGAATACCAACGGAAATGTTTCAACAAGCTGATGAATCACTCGTCTATGCCAGGAAATTTGGAAGACAGCTACTTGGCCAGCTGACCATAAGACATTCATATCTGTCCCCATTGCAAAGAAAGGCGATGTCACAGAATGCTCAACTTATACAACAACATCAATGACAGCATGCAGATAAGGTGTTGCTGCAGATCATCCAACAACGCTTGCTGCGGTGGATTGACAGGGAGCTGCTTGAGGTCCTGGCAGATTCAGAAGAGGATGTGGAACAAGGGATATCTTTCCTGATGTCAAACGCATCTTGTCTGAGAGGAGAAAACACCAGAGAGAGGTTTACTTGTGCTCCATTAGCTATCCAAAGGCCTTAGAGTGTGTGGCCCATAACAAACAATGGATAGCCTTGAGATAAATGAGCATTCCTGAACACGATTGTGCTCACGTAGAACTTTCATATGGACCAATCAAGGAGCAGTTGTGTGAACAGAGCAAGGAATGACTGCATGGATTAAGATCAGGAAAGGTGTGCATCAGGGTTGTATCTTCACCCCAAACGTGTTCAATCTGTTGCTGAGCAAATCATCAGAGAAGCTGGATTCTATCAAGAAGAATGTGGCATTCTATCAAGAAGAATGTTCGCAGGATTGGAGGATGGCTTATTCACAACTTTCCATATGCAGATGACGCAGCCTTACTTGCTGAAAGTGGGGAGAGTTTGAAGCACTGGCTGATGAAGATCAAGTATTGCAGCCTTCAGTATGGATTACAACTCAACGTAAAGAAAACAAAATCCTCACAACTGGACTAATAAGTAACATCTTGAGAAATGGAGAAAAGATCGAAGTTGCAAGGATTTTGTCTTGCTGGGATCTACAATCAATGTTCATGGAAGCAGCAGTCAAGAGATCAAAAGATGCATTGCCTTGGGTAAATCTGCTGCGCAAGACCTCTTTAGAGTACAGTGAACCCTCGCCACTTCGCGCTTTAACGGTTTTTGCATAACAGCGCATGCTCTGTCATTACTGCCACTGATTGGCTCATACTGTACACGCTTGATGCCATAAATAATATAATAAATAATAAATGATAATTGTAATGTCCAAAATGTTTTACTGTATTTTCCCTTTTTCGTTTAATAAATTGGGTAATACGAGTGTAATGGTGACTAAAGGGTGTTTTTTCATGTCCTCTATGCTCTAACTACGAAAATATTTGATTTACAAATAAGGAATCCTACTTCGTGGAATTTCATTTATCACGGTAGGGTCTAGAACCCATTAACCGTGATAAACGAGGGTTCACTGTATTGAAAAGCAAGGATATTACTTTAAGAACTAAGATGCACCTGATCCAAGCCATAGTATGTTCTATCACCTTCTATGCATGTGAAAGTTGAGCACTGGGTAAGGAAGACAGAAGAAAAATCGATGCAGTTGAACTACGGTGTTAGTGAAGAATATTGAAAGTACCATGGACTGCCTAAAGAACAAACAGATCTTTGGAGAAAAAAATATATAGCCAGGATGCTTCTTCGAGGCAAGAATGGCTAGACTTTGTCTCACATACTTTGGATGCGTCATCAGGAGAGACCAGTCCCTGGAGAAGGACATCCTCATGGTAAAGTGGAGGGGCAGCGGGGGGGAAAAAAAGGCAGGCCCTCGAGAAGATGGATTGACACTGTGGCTGTGTCAATCCGCAGTAGGCTGAAACATATGAACAATTGCAAAGATGGTGCAGGACTGTGTTGTGTTTTGTTCTGTTGTAGATAGGGTCCCTGTGTAGGTGAGTCAAAGCAACTCAATGTCACCCAAAAACAACAACAACAAGAGGTTTAAAAGGCATCATTCCCATCTCTCAAAAACTTAAATCAAGGGATCAGTCCATGTTACGATAGACTCTTCGTGTCTTACCCTGTAATTGCTGCTCTGGTGCACTGCAAGACTGTTAAAATTAAACCCGGGTTGGCAATAATTGGCACAGCTACTTGTCACCCCAAGTTCTGAACATGGGCTAACTGAAGGGCTGCTGTTAGCAATGAGGATCCCATGGAGTGATAATATGCTTATTGTCACTGGTACTTGAAGCTTCAACTGATGATCGATTCATTTTTATTCATTCTACACTGAAGGTAAACAGACATTTTAAAAGTCGGTTTGCATTTTGTATGAAAAAACACAAAACTTCCAAAGGACCCATCATGACACTAAATAGTTACTTGGGAAACCAACTTCTTCCTCTGATACTAATACTTTGCTGAAATACCGTAAGAGAAATTTATTTCAGAGAGTCACATAAACATAAACACCTTTCAAAATCAAATACGCACTGAAGATCATCCCCCCCCCAAAAAAATAACGAGAAAAAAATCAAAGAGAAACAACAGCAAAACCAACCTTTGAAAAAAGACGACTTGCCCAACGTAAAGACAACCTCCAAATCATATTATTCTCTAGAATGAGGACAGAGAAACTACAAAGAGGATCTTGTTTCGGTGGAAGGACTATTCTCGGACAAGGAAATCCTGACACCTGTCTTGGTTTGAAATGTCAACGTGAGTGGATCAGACCGCATTAAACATTTTCTAAAGGTATGGTGTTACGTGAGATTTCAAGAAGTGTTCACATGCATTAACTCACTTGGTTCACACACAGCCGTGTGGCATGGGGAATAAAGACCCCATTTCAAGGTGAAGCCACTGCTCAAGGTCAAACAGAAGAGTGGCAAGTCTCAGACGCAGGTCTAGATCTTCTGTCTTCCAGGTCTGAACACGTTCCAAGACATCCACAGTTTGAAAAATATTATTATTGGCTCTGGCGCTGTTCAATGTACTCAACAGGGACAAACGGAAAAGAAGGAGGACGCTGGGGAGGAAGTGGGGGAGAGAGAGAAGCTTTTGAATTCTCTGAATAGTGCACGTGTTGCTCTGTTTATACCACTGTCCCCGGCGCTCACTGTTCTCACAATGGATAGAGCAGCTCGTCCCTCTGTAAGCTGTGCCTGTGAGACCACTCAGTATATGACCTTCAATCTCAGCCATTGGGTGCAAGCTGTTCTTTGGTTAGTTTGCACTAAGTGATTGTTTTAGCACTTGTCTTCCTACTGAGGAAAGATCTTCACGCTGAAACAGTCGCTGGAGCTCTGATTTCTAAACCTCATCCCTATGCCCAGTCTCAAGACTAGTCAGCTTTGGCTAGGCAATCATGCAACACGCGTCGTGATGTTTTTTTTTTGGAAAATCCCCACCCACTCCCACCCCAGACTTCGTCAGGCCTCCCTTCCAGCAGTTGTGCCGATAGTCCATTCATTTTTGGGGTTTTTTTTTTAAACTTATTTTCTAGCAAAGTCTACTCAAGAATGGAAATGTTATTACCAAGTTCATGGTCTACAACTACAGACGGGGTTAGATGCTCTAGGTTAGACGGTCACTGCTCTGCGGGCCTTTCCTGTCATGTAGCACAGAAAACCAGATCCAAGAGGTTCACTATTCTCTGGGGCAGAAATAACTGGATAGATACTGTTACAACAAACCATTCATCTCAATCATTTATGAAGATAACCGGCAACTTGGACTTAATTCCCACTCAGGGGGACCCCATGTGTTTGGGAGTAGGGTTTTCAATGGGTTACACATTGGGCTGCAAACCACAAGGTTAGCAGTTTGAAACCATCAGCCGCTCCATGGGAGAAAGATGAGACCTTCTGCTCCCTTAAAGCGTTACAGTCTTGCAAACCCACCAGGGCAGTTCTACCTGCCCTATAGAATTGCTATGAGTTGGAATCCACTCAATGGCAGTGAGTGAGTGAGTGATCACCAGGTCTTTCTTCCAAGGCACCACTGGGTATATTTGAGTAACTAATCTTTCACTAGTAGCCAAACACTTACTTACTTGTGCCACCTAAGGACTACATAGTGTGCAGATTCATCTGTTGCTGCTAAGTCCATTTCAATGCAGAGCAATCCAGTGGTTAGCATAGAACTGCCCTATAGGGTCTCCCAAATGTAAACTTTACAGAATACATCTTTCTTCTGTGGAGCAGCTGGTGGTTTCGAACAGTCAACTTGGTTATCCGCTGAGTGTTTTACTACTATATCCCCAAAGCTCCTTGACTATAGTGATTACAGAGCCCTTCTTATTGTGGGGCTTGCATGGCCCCTTTGAAAAGCCTCTTGCCTATGCAGTCCTTTATTCATTACTGAATCTGGTACCTTGTGAATCTTGTACTTGTAAAGTGATTTGAAATGTTTTCAGGGGCATGTCGATGAGGCTGTAGGATTATGAATAATAATGGTGAATTACAAGTATGCGCGAAGATTTTAACTCCCTAACACTCGATTATCTCTCATATGAGTAAATGTGAAATTTTTTAAGAGGACATCAACTACTGATGAACCCATGCTAACTGTTCACTGATATGAAGTAAATATTCATAAACATGGGAAATAGGGAGGGGAGTATCAGACAGCTGTGGCTCTCTGAGAGTTTTTCATCTACAAGATAAAAGCCCATTTTAAAATCAAATAGCAATGTAAGAGGGGTCCAAAGACACCGCATGGCTAATTGCCACCTGAATGGCAATTGGCAGAGTAAGTCAGAAGATGAAGGGGGGAAGGTGTACAGAACTGGGAAGCCAGCGGGAAAGCGTTCGGATGCAAGAAAGAGGATGGTACAGAAGGGCAGGCTTAGGTGACAGGGACAGGTCTAGTGTGAGCTAGCTCTGCAAAGGCCATTTGGACCTGGACGATGGAGGACACTGGATGTCAAGTTTCTGAACAGAGAAAGCATCCTGATCCACGCATGGTTTAAGAAATAGTCATTGGGCTATGTGGCAAGCCAGATCGAGGGAAGGGCGAGAGGCAGGGAGATCAAAAAGAGTCCCTGTCAAGTTCAAGTATGGGGCGATGAATGTGGGATGGGAACAGAAGAGGTGTGGGTGGGAAATGCTAAGAGAGAAACACACTACCTCTGCAATTGCTGCTAAGCATTATCGCTGCAGTTCTATTCTTTTCTAAAGTATTGTCAAATGTGTGGGTTAAGAACTGATACACTTTTAGCAATTGCCGATGGGGAATGGGGTGAAAGAGGAGTTGTTTGGTTGGAAGCTGTAGCCTCTGAAACATGTATTACCTGTATAAGTGGCTATGCTGAGCCTTTTCCTCTTGATATTGTATTCTCATTTAAAGATAAAAGGTATCTCAAGAAGTCATGAGATGTAGGAAGTAAAGGAGCTCTAGGAGCACTTGATTTGGAAAAGAAAGCTAATTCAGGGTGAATTCGGACCCTGTTTCCAAATATGTCAAGACAGTACTTGGAAGGAGCCCTGGCCCCACCCCGCCTCACCCCCCCACCCCCAAGAAGACCTGGCACATTATCCTTACTCCCCAGTTAGAACAACCTGCAGTGCTTCGAATGTTTGTGGCTTCATGTATTATTTTGTAAAGACCTTCAAAGGCGAGTTTTCCAACAATTCCAACGACCCCTGCTACCTGGAAGATTCTTGTATGGAATTACACCGTGTTCTGGCCTGCACACTGGCCCTCGTTATCACTCACAGAAATGTAATTCCTTCACCTTCCAGGGCCACTTAAGGTTGGCACACTCTATTCTAGTAACACCACTTAACAAAAAGATGGCGCCTGCCCGATAGAGAGCTTCCTCCCACCCCGCCTGCCCACATTCCCTTCTCTAACTCACAGCCAGGCATCCAGAACCTATTCCTAATCCCCAGGCGGTTTTGAGACTACCCCTCAGGGAGGGGGCGAGGGGCACTGCCTGAAAAAAAGGGTAAAGCCAAACCAGACTCCCTGGTATGAAGCAGATGCTGGAAGGAACTACTGCCCCTGTGGGTTTCCCAGACTGTAACTCTTTATGGGAGACAGCGCCCTGTTTCTCCAGAGGAGAGGCTGTTGGTTTCGAACCGCCGAGGTTGCAACTAAGCAGCCCAATACCCACAATTCCACCGAGGCTCCTTGAAAGAAGGGTCAGGAGGGTGCATTCTCGTTCCTCTGCTCTTTCTAGCCCCTCTTGTTTCCTTGCTTCACCCTCCTCAACCTAACCAAATTGGCAGCCACAGGCCACAAATGCCAGGGGCCCACGGGAACAACAGGGAAATCACTCCCAGTTGTAACACTGAACACTAAGTTGGTGCCTAAAGCTCATAGACCTGGATTTATCTGCGAGAAGACAGCTAAATCTACTTGACTTTATAAACTTAATAAACCAATGCCGTCTAGTCCTCCCCATAATAATCTACAGCAGGGCGAGTTTCACTAGTGAACGGATGGCAAGCCCTTTAGCCAACTCAGAAACCACGGGTGTATCTTCAAACGCTTTTTGCCAGCCTCCTGCGTGTTTGTGGACTTTCTTCCCTCGCTCTTCCAAAACTAACCCCGACATTTTGAGAAGCCAAGAACTTGGGCAAAGGGGAAAACAACCCTGTAGGGCAAGAAATCTGAAAGCTCAGTTCCTATTCCGTCAACCCCAACGGACAGTGCCTTTTTGTTTGCCTTCACTCAGCTCAAAGGATAAAACCCTGCGAGCAATAAAACTCAGCACGCAGGTGCCATGCCTGCAACGTAATTAAATGTGCCCTCTCTTCATGGCGGTGGCATTTACTTTGTCCGTTAATATATATGTTTGCTAAAACCTCTCTATTATAATTCACCATCAGCACACGCGGTGGCCGCACACGCTCAGGAGCGGGGTCTGAGAAGAGTGTGTTTGCATAAGGCACCCTCAGCCTTGGCTGCTAGCTGCACAAACCTTCGCCTCCTTTCCGCAGCGACTGCCCTGGAACACACCGGAGCTCCGTTGCAAGCCGCCCGCCGGGAGAGCGGTGCTGACAGATGCACCGTCTGCTTCTGCAGGGCGCTGTGCTGGAAAGTTTCTTCTAACCACTCACACCGCCTCCGAGCCTCCGAGCTGGCAAGACGCAGGCCGGCGGGGGCCCCTTTGGACCAGGGATAGGGTTTACGCACAGCCTGCTAGGTGCTAAACGCGGCCGAGCCCAGCGGACAGACTGTCCAGGGCGCTCTGGCGTTTCAAGAACAGCTCGATCCCCTCCCTGCTAAAGGGGACCGGGACACTGGGGGCAGAGGGGACACTGGGGAGGGGGGATAGGCAAGGGGTGCAGGAGGTTTGGGGGAATCGTAGAAGGGAGTGGGGTGTGGAGGAGGGAGCCAGGTTTTGGGAGGCAAGAGGGGTGTAGGAGGGAGTGGAATGCCGGAGCTGATAGGGGCCGGAGCGGGGGTGGGGACCTGTGCCGCAACCGGTGCAGTGGCTGGCGCTAGGTGCTGGGGAAGCGGGGCCGGGCGCGCGCGCGCAGGAACTGGCGGGCGCCGGGGCGCACCTCGCGCGGCCCTTTGCCCCCCGAATCCCCCAAGCCGCCTAATTGCCCGTGGGAGGGAGTTGCGGGGGGCGGGGGGAACCAGAAAGGGGCGTGCCTTGGGCCCGATTGGCTACAGGAGGCTGACGCGAGGCCCAGGGGGTTGGCTAGAGGGGGTGGGTAGGAGCCGGGTGGGTGGGTGCCGGCGCTGTGGGCCCGGCGCGCTCAGAAACATGCTGAGGTCCCGGCGGCTGTTCCAGCAGCGGCAGCGGCTCCAGCAGCAGCGGCGGCGGCCGCGGAGGCGGCGGCGACAGCGCTCGGCTCTGGCTCCGGCGGGGAAGGCGCCCGGCGCCGATGCTTCGGACCCCGCGTCACGGCTGTCCTGACCCAGCAGCGACCTCCCTTGACGGGCCCCGCGGCCCGGGCTTCTGGGGTGTTCCCCAACCACGGCCCAGCCCCGCCACACCCCCCGCCTCCGGCCTCCGCAACTCGGCATGGGCGCGGGGGCGCTCGCCCTGGGCGCCTCCGAGCTTGGCAACCTGTCATCGGCCGTGCCGCTCCCCGACGGCGCGGCCACGGCGGCGCGACTGCTGGTGCCCGCGTCGCAGCCCCCGTCGCTGCTGCCCGCCGCCAGCGTGAGCCCCGCGCCGCTCTCGCAGCAGTGGACCGCCGGCATGGGCCTGCTGATGACGTTCATCGTGCTGTTCATTGTGGCGGGCAACGTGCTGGTGATCGTGGCCATCGCCAAGACGCCGCGGCTGCAGACGCTCACCAATCTCTTCATCATGTCCCTGGCCAGCGCTGACCTGGTCATGGGGCTGCTGGTGGTGCCGTTTGGGGCCACCCTCGTGGTGTGGGGCCGTTGGGAGTACGGCTCCTTCTTCTGCGAGCTCTGGACCTCGGTGGACGTGCTGTGTGTGACGGCCAGCATCGAGACCCTGTGTGTCATCGCCCTGGACCGCTACCTCGCCATCACGTCGCCCTTCCGCTACCAGAGCCTGCTGACCCGCGCCCGGGCGCGGGTCCTGGTCTGCACCGTATGGGCCATCTCGTCCCTGGTGTCTTTCCTGCCCATCCTCATGCACTGGTGGCGGGCCGAGGGCAAGGAAGCGCGCGGCTGCTACAAGGACCCTAAGTGCTGCGACTTTGTCACCAACCGGGCCTACGCCATCGCCTCGTCGGTCGTCTCCTTCTACCTGCCTCTGTGCATCATGGCCTTCGTGTACCTGCGGGTCTTCCGCGAGGCCCAGAAGCAGGTGAAGAAGATCGACAGCTGCGAGCGCCGCTTCCTAGGCGGCCCCGCGCGGCCGCCCTCACCGGCGCCCTCGCCCGGCTCCCCACGCGCCGGCGAGCCGGTGGCCAACGGGCGCACCAGCAAGCGGCGACCCTCGCGCCTCGTGGCGCTGCGGGAGCAGAAGGCGCTCAAGACGCTGGGCATCATCATGGGCGTGTTCACGCTCTGCTGGCTGCCCTTCTTCCTGGCCAACGTGGTGAAGGCCTTCCACCGCGAGCTGGTGCCCGACCGCCTCTTCGTCTTCTTCAACTGGCTGGGGTACGCCAACTCGGCCTTCAACCCCATCATCTACTGCCGCAGCCCCGACTTCCGCAAGGCCTTCCAGCGCCTGCTCTGCTGCGCGCGCCGGGCCGCCCGCCGGCGCCACGCCGCCTCCGGCGACCGGCCGCGCGCCTCCGGCTGCCTGACCGTGGCCGAGCCGCCGCCGTCCCCCGGGGCCGACGACGAGGACGACGACGAGGACGTCGGGGCCGCGTCGCCCGGGCGTTTGCTGGAGCCCTGGGTCGGCTGCAACGGCGGCGCGGCGGCGGACAGCGACTCGAGCCTGGACGAGCCCAGTTGCCCGGGCTCCGCTTCGGAATCCAAGGTGTAGCGCGCGGGGCTGCGCTCCATTCTGGCTGCCCAGGGAACTGGTCTTCTGGGGACCGGCGGCGAGCTGTGTTTACTGCAGGCCCAAAGCAGGTGGCCGCAACGCCCACAAGCCTCGTCGGAGGTGACCCAGAGGAACAGAGAAGCCACGCACCATTGCACAAAAAGGAAAGTTTGGGAGAGGAGGGGAGAGTAGCTTGTGGCTTTTCTCGGATTCTTTTTGTTTGGGGCTTGGCCTTCCTTTTGTACTTGCGGGTGAAGCAGCTTTGGGATTTTTGTTTTTGTTTTTAACCCCCCTCTCCAGATGGGTTTTTGTTTGTTTGTTTGTTTGTTTGCTTTTGACACTTTATGCGAGGACCTGAGTTGACATTGCCTCGATTGGGGAAAGGGAAAATATTAGAGGGTAGAAGTCTTATTTCTTTGGCCTCTACTCCATTCCAGAGAAACAGGAAAAAGGGGGCTGCGGAGGTGACAGGGGCACAGTTAATCAAAACGTATTCCCTCTTGCTTTCCAGAGAAAGTAATTTCAGTCTAACCCCCTGAATCAAGATTTCTCCTGTTCTTAAAGCAGAGGGGGAAGGAGAGATGCAAAAAGCACGTTTCAAGCGTTTTTAAGCTATTCTTGGAACAAGCCTCACCTTGCTTAGCGTTTGTAGGGCCGACTGACTGGCTGTCTCCCAGCCCCGACCCATCCACCTACCCACCCATCCGTGCTCCCTGCGTCTGGTGGCCAGGCTGAGGGCGTCCTACCTCACACTGTGCTTGTGGCACAGGCAGATAGAAAGATTTGTTTATATTAAACAGCTTATTTATGTATCAATACGCGTTTGAAGGACCAGGCGCTGAGCCTCTGTGACATAACCCTGTCCATGAAAGACAGGACAGAAAGGGGTGTCGTTTTGTTTTGTTTTTTAAAAAAGGAACCAGTTCTAGTATCAAAACAGATAACTGCACATTTGGGTTTAGGAAAAAAAAATTTTAAGAGGGGGAAGGTGGCCCGAAATGCCATTTTGCACAGTGTTAGAAATTTTGAAGTCCACATGTTACTTGCACAAAAAAGAAATGGAATATTTTTATGGGCGGGGTGATCTTCAAAGTGAAAATAAAATTCAAACTCTACTTCTGTTGTCTATTTATGTTTTTATGCTAATGAGCTCCTGATTTATTAGGGAAATACTTTTTTATACTCTTTTTATCATGGTACTGTAACTGTATTGAGATTCTAAATATTATTATTTTAAGGGATTTTTATTTTATTTTTTAATGTTCACGTGCCCCCTCAGTGAACCTGCTGGTAAAATTTAGCACTTGTGTGTAAATTCTATTTCCTCCTGTGTCTTTTGCCAAGTATTTATACTCCCGTGCAACTAACTACTGTGTGAGGAATTGAATGTGCAATAAATACCCATGAAGCCCAATCAAGATTAAGTGTGTCTATAAGGGGTCAACCATTGTGGAAAAGGCTGTTTTGCTTATACGATTGAACTAGATTTCCAATATAATCCTTTTCATATCTTTCCGTGACTCCAAAAACATAGCTAAACATCTCTAGATCAACACAGTGGGCTCACCTGCTGGGAGATGCAGACTTGCCATCCACTTTCACAGCTGGATTCGAGGTATTCTAAAGGACTGGTAAGTGCTGTAAAAGTCACGTCTGCTGCACTTAGCTTCAGACATGGCATGAAAACTATGGAACCCGGGTCTACTCTGACACACTCACGGCTGCCAGGGGTCAGAGGTGACTTGGTGGTAACTTTTTCCTTTTTTTTTTTTTTTTAATCTTCTAAATAAAGCCATTGACCAGGTAACACAGCTGCAACTTGGCACAGCCATGTAGGGAGGAAGACTAAGGCATTGAACAATCGTTGCCTCTTTGGAACTGGGTAAGTGGCTTCCAAAGCCTCTGATTTCCTGTTCAGAATCCTATCTGTGGCCATTGTACGCACATTTCTCCAGTGGTATTTTAGAATGGAGAACCGCATTCCTGGCTAAGTACAAATTTCTAGAACACCTTCTTACGCAACTACTCTTTTCTCTCATGTAACTTGATAGATCGCAGTCAGAGGGTGGGGATGGTTGGGAAGGGGGCAGGTCACAAGTAAAAAGTAAACTTGCCATCATTTAACTTGGTCACAAAATGACAACACCCCAGGGAGATTTTGTTCCTAAGGAGGCCTGGTGGTGACATGGTTACAAGTTGGGCTGCTCCTTGCGAGGTCAGCAGTTCAAAGCCACCAGTGGCTCCAGGAGAGAAAGATGAGGCTTTCTATTTCCAGGCAGAGTTCTAGACTCGGAACCACAGGGGCAGTTCTACCCTCTCCGAAAGGCAGTGAGTTTCGTTTTAAGAAAAGCAGCGTTGGCTGCCCTGAGACTCGTGTGTGCTTCACAACACTTGGAAGTGTTTCTGTGTGTATTTGTATACTTGACGCTTCATTCTGTGTCTGCACCGACAGTTCTGGCCCTCGTCAAGATGTGTGAGCAGGGTGTTTCTGCCAGGCAAAGTCAGGGCTGCCCCCCAGTCAATTCAAACTCCTAGTGGCACTGGAGGACTAAGAATAGACCTGCCTTTGTGGGTGTCCTGACATGGTAACGATTTGTGGGAGTAGAAAGCCTCCTCTTTCTCCCAAAGAGCAACTGGTGATTTTGAACTGCTAACCTCATAGTCAGGAACCCAATGCATAACTCACTACATTGCCCGGGCATCCCTTTTTTGTTATGTGATCATTTAAAGACATAGCAGGAGGCTTCTGAAAGGTTGGTAAGAGAGATGATGGAGTTGCTAGCACACAGTTGAGTCCATTGCTCTCTGCCTCCCTTCCGCCACCCAGGTAAGACACATTTTGTTTACGTGTTTTGCCCATCTTCATTTTGTTGGAGAACTAGTAGGCATTCGCCATTTCAGCTGGTATGCCAAAGTACCCAGTGAATGGTTCCTCTTTTTTTTTGATTTCCTGATGATGAGCATATTTTGTCTCAATAATCCACCATCTTTAAATAGAGAGACCGTTTCCCAGCATAAGACATTTAAGAAGCCTATCCAACCTGAGGACTGACAATCTCGAAAGTTCTCAAAACTTTAAGAACAAAGACGTCTCACTGAATCATGGAGTAGCCAGATGTGGCTTCTTTCACGACTGTTTTAAGAGGAAGCCACTAGAATCTTGGGACCAGTTGATAGGTGCTTTCAGGAAATAGTAAAAGGAGCGCCCCTGACCCTCCAAACAGGGTCACGAGGCTTCAGAAACGAAGCTGGCCTGTGATACAGAATGCCGGTGCGAAATGACTGGTTCTTGAGGTGGTTGCTGTAAGACAGCCATTGATGTGTGATAAAAATGTGGGAAGCGGGCCTGCCAATAGCAATAGTTTATGGCAGGAGAAGGAGAAAACGACTAATCCTGTTTAAGCAGGTGGAATTCTGGATAGTAGAAGCGAGGGACAGGAGGAGGGGCAATGGGCAAGAAGAAGTCACCTGTACTGCAGATGGGACTGAGGGGAGCAAAGTGCCAAAGGCAAAAGCCTGCAGACCGGAAGATTGGAGCATCATGTTCCCGAGTCATGGCCGTGCCCTATCAGAGTTCTGGCCAGGTGTCCGATAGATTCTCCAGGGTGGATCAGCTCTCCCTCCGACGCGGACATGTGGCGTTGGTGGCTTTTGTCTCTGGGTGAACTTGCCTTTGGAAAACTTGGCAGAGAGCTTTTAATTTGGGGGCCACGTTTTCTTCGGAGCTGGACTTATTAATAACTTCTAAGTGGCTATTGTGAAACCTTTCCTTGTTAAGCACATTTTCCTAGCTGAGTTTAATTTCACATTTTGTTCACTGTGCTGACTTCCTCTCCCCACTATGCAAAAGTGCCAGGCGGAAATTCTGCACCCAATGTATCAGGGGAGTTGTGCACACATAGGCTTTTAACCGGCGTGTCTAAGTAAGAGCGCAAATGGAAACAACCCCATAAGCTTCACTGCCGCTTGTGAAAGGTGCTTCTTTATGTTTTTAGGCAAAAGGAGAAGAAACCTTAGCAGTAATTCTAATTAAACACATTGGCCCAGATCATGTAATTTTTTTATTTGTACGTTTCTGGCATAATGTGCTGAGAAATACTAACTCTTTTGACTCGCTGCCAATTTTCTACTAATCAAAATGGAAAAGATATGCACTGTTTGGATTATACCTAAAAATAGTTGTGCTACAGTAACATCAGCGAATGGAATTAAATTAATTCCCCTTTCTTCCTCTTCACACACCCCCTCCACCTTATTTAAATTTCCTTCTAGAATCTTGCTCCTGAATCTCATCAGTGGCGGTTCAATCTGTCCCAGATCACAATGTCCTCCCATACAGTGTTTTAAAACCAAGCCTACTGAATTGCTTTGTGGGGAATCCACCCGTTCTGAAATTCCCAGCCTTAACCCTGTTCTCATTTGAAAGGTCTTCCTCCTGAAGAGCCTTATCATAGAGTCAAAGAGATTATTAATATAAAGCGATGGTACTTTGTGAATGAATTTATCTCATCCATAGTGTTTTCATCCTGCAGGGGGAGGTGGGGTTTCTTTTCTGTATGAATCCAGTTCAGTCATTTGCTGAAGCTATTGTTGATTCTGGTACAAGAGAAAGAAACACTGCACTATCCACACAGTTGTTGCTACCTTTGAGGTTGTTAGTGAGGTCTCTGTGTCAATCCATACCCTTGAGGGTCTTCCTCATTTCCCCCCACCTCCACCCCCCAGCCCTCTGTTTCTCCAGGCTCTGAGCTCTCCTGGTAATATGTCCAATATACATCAGCAGTTAATAGGCCTGCAAGTCCCCGTGCTAGCAGGACAGACGGGGGAACAGCAGAGCCCAGGAGAAAGCCACTCGCTGTGTTCTGACCACTTAAGAACATGATCATTGCAGTGCCCAGAAAGCATTGGAAACAACCCCGCCCCCCAACCTCCATAAAACTTTGTCTTCACTTGATTGTTGGACAAAGATCACTCTGAATGGTTACCCACCTTCTGGTAGTTCTTGGGACCACCATAATGGCCAGCCCTGCTTTTTCAGCCCTCTTGTCCTTCTTGAATGAACTAGAAACATCTAGAGCAGGGGTCCTCAAACTTTTTAAACAGGGGGCCAGTTCACTGTCCCTCAGACCTGTCGGAGGGTCGGACTATAGTTTTAAAAAAAACTATGAACAAATTCCTATGCATACTGCACACATCTTATTTTGAAGTAAAAAATAAAACAGGGCAAAAACACCTGGCGGGCCGGATAAATGTCGTCGGCGGGCTGCATGTGGCCCGCGGGCCGTAGTTTGAGGACGCCTGATCTAGATGCCGAGAACCTTTCATACAGTTCCTCATGTTGTGGTGACCCCCCCAGTCATAAAATTATTCTTGCTACTTCATCACTGTCATTTTGCTACTGTGATGAATCGTCATGTAAATATCTGATATGCAGGATGTATTTTCATTGTTACAAATTGAACATAATGAAAGCATAGTGATTCATCACAAAAACAATGTCATTCTATATTGTGAAATATTTATTTCTAATGACAAATAAATGAAATGTTGTCTTGAAGCACGGTGCAGCATGGATCACAGTCTTCACGCCGGGACCTCATCTGTGGGCGTATCTGCATGTGGGTGAGCCCCCCTGGAGACGGAGAGAGGAACGGTGTCTCAGTTCCTAAGACCATCGGACATACGTTTTCTGATGGTCTTAGGCGACTCCTGTGAAAGGGTCATTCGTCCCCTGGTTGAGAACGGCTGATCTTGAGCATCCGACCCAAGATCCATTGTCTTCATGCTGTTGCTGCTGCTACATTCGGTTCCACTGGACTCACAGCAAAGGGAAAAGCTGCCCGTCTGCACCACCCTCCCTATGTCGCGGTCTTTGAGCCCATGGTCACAGCCACTGGGCCAAGCCAACTCGTGGAGGGTCTTCCTGGTTCCCACTGTCCCTCGGCTTTCCGGAGCCACGGAAGTTCCCCCAAGGAGAGTTTTCCCAGGCTCTGATGTCCAGCATCGCTCAACACCACCGATTCTGTTTCCTTCCCACCTTCCCTCAAGGGTAGCTGTTAATGAGTGTCCGCAGGATCACACTGCTGTCTTCCTCCTGGTGACAAAAAACTCACCTGCGGATGATGCCTTTCAAATGTCTTGCTCTTGGATGTCCTCCTGGGGATCAGCATTGCTCAAGCGCGTGAGGCAACTCGGGTGGCTGAAAACATCTGTGTGTACTTTATCTTCAAAAGGCCTCCACGTTGGATTTACTGTTTGGGGCTGGGCGGGGCCGTCTGAACAGGATTCATTTTTTCTGGTAACTGTGTGACCTTGGGGGTCTTTTCTGTACCCCGGTCTCGAAGGGTAACCTTCTTCGTTCCACCTGCAGCTGTCTGTGAAGTCCTTTTCTTAGTCGCTATCAGCCTCACTGAC